GGTGCTGCGCCCCTCTGGCGTTTGTGTGCATGTCCCGCGTGCCCGCCTGCCAGGGCTGATGCCAAGGCCAAATCAACAACATGCCCGGCTGATGCCAAGGCCAAACCCACTGCCTGGCTGGTGCCAAGGCTCAATGACTCTCCTCTCCCTCTCCCCCCCCCCCCCCTACTCAGACAGGACTGATCCCTGCGACACACGACGCACTCTCTCCTACCATCCGACAGACGTTGCCTGACCGACACGGGACGCTCTGACAGGACACTACTGAGACGACTACCTCTACTCCCTACCCCACTACTACCCCCAAAACACCCAAACTCGCCCCCTTGATCCACACCCACCTGGGGACCTGAACCACCCCACACCCCACGGAGGCCAAGCTGACGCACTCGGGGCAAATGCAAACCATTCTGACCACGCTGGTGCGGAGAGGCGCGCCCCGCCCCCCCCACCCCACCCCACCCCCGCCCTCCCCAGCGCAACCAACCCCCCTCTCCCCTCTCCCCCCTCTCCTCTCCTTCAGGCCTCCTGGCGCCCGAGTCCGCGACGTACGTCGCCCTGTTGCCGCCAGCGACGCCGATCCGGCTGACTTCGCCAGCCGCCCCGGACATCGGCACCAGCCAGCCGGCGCCGATGCCGACGAGCGTCGACTCTGTGACGTACGAGGGGCTGCTGGCGCGACGCCTCGATGCGCGCGAAGCCGCCTCGAGCCCACTCTCCACGGCGTCGGTTTGGCACGTTCGTAGGCGCAGATCGACGCACTCGACGCGCTCGAAGGCACCGAGGCAGGACTGTTGGGCTGCGGCGCGACCGACCCGAGGGGCGCCCGCTCGCACTCGTTCGACTTCCAGATGCACTCCCTCTTTTCGTCCGGCGCCTACTTCTGACACGCAAGCCTGGCGCGCGAGATTGGGATCTGAGCTCGGCAGATGCCGGCACGGAACCGATTGCCCCGAACATGCCTTGTCACATGGAACATGGAGAGGTGGGGCACACGATGAGAGCCTCTCGCTCGCTGCACACTCACTCGAACTTGTTCTGACCCCGTGTTCCGCATGTCTTCTCACAGTGCTCTGTCTACTTCCCGCATTCTCCCACCGGCGTTAGGGTACTGTACTTATCCGAGCCATCGCTTTATCTGTGTGCGTTATGTTTTCACAGACACATTGCGCCACGGACCGCACGGTCACCGCGACACCGCTCTCAGCGCGCACCCACACCTCCTCGAAGACCGGAGAGCGGAGACGGGGCACGGGGGGGGGGCACAGGGATTACGGATTATCAGGGTGAGGGTCTGGCGTCTGGGCACGAAACCGCACGTGCGCCTTCTACTGACTAGTCTACTGTGTACTGACTCGCGAGCGGCGGCATTAATTTGTCGAGGGGGTCAGCGAGGGTCTCGCCATGTGGATGCCATGGCGGTTGGCGCGCGCTGTGACCTGTGAGTTCCTGTGTCGTGTGTGAGTGTAGAGTATGTGTGTTCTGTTAACGCCCCCTTCCTGAGAGTAGAGAGCCATGATGAGTGATATGGTACACACGCGATACGGCGGTTACGGCGATTCGGCTTACACGCCCGTTACGTGCGGCGTGCTGTATGGCTCGGCCCCACTCCCCACATCGACTCACTAACTACTAACTAAAGAAAAATTAACGACTGCCCCACAGACTCTCTCCCTCTCGCGCGACTAGGCGAGGAACTCGCAGATCCTACTAGATCGACAGCCACTTGATGGATCACCTCACTGGCCTCGGAGAGAGAAAACAGGGGACATCTGGCTGGAACAGACCTAACGAGCACGTCTGACCAAGACTTCTTGGAAGCCCAACCTTGCATCGGCGTGCGCCCTCATTCATTCCGCGGCGCAACCCACCGGACAGCCACTTGTGGACGCGAAGAGGAGGCTGCGGTCGTGATGCTTGTCGTGAGCCACGTAGACCTCCGACGAATCGACGAGCTCGCGGCCCGGCGCAAAGCGGCAACCCTCGGGGCAAGCGATCTGGTACGGGCAAGTGACAGACGCGGGGAGTTGCTCCGGGCCTTCGCAGGAGCAGTGGCGGACGACGGTGTTCTGTGGGTACTCGCTGCCAGCGCCGAGAGTCGGGCCCCGCCCCAAGGCCGGGTCGTGCCTAATAGGTGCGTCATGGCGAATCACCTTCACAAATCCCGCGCCCGCTGCCCAGGCGGAGATTGAGCGCTCCCGAGCTGGCAGAGCGTGTGGTGGGTGATGTCGTGGTCGAGGCAACGGCCGCACCAATTCGCGCACACCTGGTCAAAGTCAGCGCAGCTTATCCCGACCTCGAAGGCCGGACAGGCAATGTCAGTGTCCGGTCCAGGGCAGGTCCAGTAGCCGCGCTCTTCGCCTGAGTGCGGGTGAGGGATAGGGAGGGCTTGCTCAGGCGAGTGAGGCTTGTGTGAGGTGTGGTACAGGCGTATCGAGGGAACGAGCCGCAGGTAGTGACGGGGAGCAGGCTGGCGACGGTGCACTAGGTCCGCGCGCCAGCGATTGCCCCGCCGACAGCATTGTGGTCCACCACGTAGCGCTGAAAGAGCTCGGTCAGTTTGGACGCCCGTGACGGAGAGTAAGTCAGGTACTCTTGGACCGCGTCCTCGTTCCTGAAGTGGGGCGAGCAGTCGGGCGTCTCGCCGCACAGGATTGGGCTGCCGCCGTCGGGGTTTGGCTTGCAGTCTGAGTAGCCCCAGCACGGACGGCCGTTCTGGCAGGGCGTGTTTGCGTTGCACGGGATGCACTTCGCGGGCCCAGGGTTGACGTCCGCCCAGTAGTTGGCGCAGTATGAGGTGTGGTTTGGCAACGGCGCTGGTGCCGGACTCGGTGAGGGCGCAGGCCCCGACCCATCGCATGGGTTGGTGCCGCCGGGGCACATGCCGCCGACGAAGTCCCAGCAGACCTTGTCCGAAGGATTTTGGCAGAGAGTGCCAGGGGAGCCCGCGAGGCAGTCGCTGCACAGCGATGGAGAGGGGCTCGGAGATGCAGATGGAGACGGAGAGGGGCTCGGAGACGGAGATGGAGAGGGGCTCGGAGATGCAGATGGAGACGGAGAGGGGCTCGGAGATGCAGATGGAGAGGGGCTCGGAGATGGTGACGGCGATGGCGACGGCGATGCCGGAGAGGGCGATGGAGAGGGTGAAGGCGAGGGCGAGGGTGAGGGCGTCGCGCCCCCCGCCGTGATTGCGATGTCGGCGCAGTTCCAAAAGGCCTGTGGCGACGGTGGCGGCGGGCTCGAGGGCGGTGGGCGTGGGGGCAGCGGGCAGGCGGGCTGGTTGAGGTGGCAAGGCGGGCTGGATAGACGCCTCTGGGTAGGACCAAGGAGAGTTTGAGGTGACATAGGTCCACTGGAGCACACAGGCGTCGCACTCAATGCCCGCAGGCACTTTGAGCTTGATCGCCTGTAGCAGCTGGTTCGGCGCCTTCTCGAGCACGAAGCGATCCTGCGTGTGGGGAGGGGGGGGGGGGGCCTGACAGGATCCTCTATGCTTTATCTTGTGTCTTGTAAAAGCCATGGGGGGGAAGTCGGAGCGAGGGGGGGGGGGCAGGGGGGGGGGGGGGGAAGGGGAATTCCAAACAAGGGGGGGGAAGGGGGGGGGGGAAATCCGGGCGGTGGCCCCTTTTTTTCCTCCGGGGGAAAAAAATAACCCCCCGGGTTGCCACAGCTGCCCCAGGGCTGCTGCGCTGGGTTCTTCGCCGTCGAGTCGGTGTAGCCACCACTTGGCGGCGTGCCTACGACTGCGTTCCCGCCCGTCTTCAGAGGCCGCCCTCCGCCGTCGCCATTGTTGACGCCCTGGTAGTCGAGGACGGGGCAGTTGTCGGCGTCAGGCTCACAGTCTCTGCAGCACCTGCAGAGGGGACGGAGGGGCGGGCGGTTGACAGGCGGATAGGCATGGGAGCTCGATGCGACAGCCCTCCTCACCCGTCCGAGCCCGCAGCGATCTGAAGGACGTGCGTGTTGAACTTGTCTTGCGAGAGGCCCCCATCGGCGCCCGCCTCGAAGGAACAGGTCTTGCAGGATGGCACCGCGAGCCGAAACTCGTGCCATCCCTTGTGGTATGCCGTGATGGTGATCTCTACGTCGAGAATGCCGCCCGCCACGGCGGTCGCCCTGACTGGGCCTTGTCCGAACTCTCCAGAGTCGAAGCCGGGCGCTATGTCCAGTGAGGCTCCGCAGAGACCGTGCGAGTCGGGATCCGCGCCTCCGTTGGTGCCACCTCCAATGGCAGCGTTCAGATTTTGAACGTTGCCGTAGCCAGGCGCCCAGTTCGTGCCAGCAATCCCCTGCCAGTTGCTCCACGAGATGGGCTTCACCTGTGTGCACGCAATGGGTGTGCCGTCGGCGGAACGGCAGGGGCCGAGGGTATGAGCCGCTGGCTCACGTCGCGGTACTGGCGAGGCAGCGGCTTGGACATGAAGCCGTGTGCACGTGCTCGCGCCGCCAGCGCGAGGATCGTGAGGGCAAGCGATCGGGGCGGCATGATGAGTTGATGTCTGCTGCCGAGGCCTTTTGTCTTCAAAGAGAGCGCCTTCGGCACCCTCTCTCGATCGAGGTCTCGCGGATCTTATAATATTCACTGGGGAAAGGGTGGCAATCGCGCGACGCAGGGTCAGGGTGTGCACGGGTGGGAGGGGCCGGTTGCGGTTCGCCGCGCCTCACCCGGGCCTTGTACTTTGAATGCCGTGCCCGCGTGGGGCCTGCTGAGTGCTGTGACCTGTGTAAGGTGTGTGGAGTGTGCGCCTGCCAGACTGCCATGCTGTCTGCCTGTCTCGGTGCGGAGTTGCGGAGGGTTGCCCCCCCTTGCCCCACCATTTTTCTGTGTGAGAGTTCCTTCCGTTCCTTATTTTAGACCCACCCGGTGCAGGCCGGTTGTGCCCGCATGCCGCGCCTCACCGCAGCTTGTCCGGAGCCCACCGCAGAGGCTCCCTTGGGGATGCCTGAGGCCACCCCAACCACTCACTAAGTCGCACGTGCAAGCCTGGTACGTTGACCAATTCAACAAACACAAACATCTTCTCTCCAATTCAAAGCCACTTTTTCGTTTACCTACATTTGCTGGTAGGCGAAGTGTGAAAGCACGGTGGCAACCAAAACACACTTATGGTTGGCGCCCCTACGGCCCCTACGGCCGACGCGCCGATGCACGACCGGCCTCTCGACTGGTGGCGCTCGCGGCGCCACGCCGCCCATCCTTGGCCACGCGTTGCGCTGGGTGATCTCCCAGTTGCGCCTCGCAATGATGGCCGAGTGCTGCTGCAGGAGGCGCTTGCGCTCGTTGCGCACCCGCCACTTCTCGCCGTCGGAGCGCGCCAGGGCGACCTTGGTGGCGAGCCCGGTGGTTTCTTTTCCTCGCGATGTCCACCCTGGATTCGGTACTTCAGCTTGGTATAGTATCATCGTATCCCAGATCATACCCCAGGGCTATACCCTGATACCCTCTTGAGAGGATCCGTATTGGGCCCCCCTAGAGGATAGGTGGGGGTTACCCTTCACACCGGACACGACCCCCCTCTTCACACCTCTTCGCGCGCTGCGCGCGCGCCGAGACAGACAAGAACGCGTCGCGCAGGAGGGAGGCGAGCGCACCACTAAGCAATGCGCTGGGCGAGGTGGAGGGCGGCAATTGCGGCCGTCGTCGCATTGGGCGGCCTGTGGCCGCCAGCCGGCTAGCGGGCTAGGCAGCCGGTGCGGCTGCAGCTGCGGGAGCGGCCGCGACCTCTCGATGACATTGCCTTCCGCCTCGAGCAGAATCGCTGGGAGAGTCACTGGCAGACTTGGTCGTACCGCTGCACCACTTGCTCTGCGGGGTAAGCGGATGTTCCCCAGGATATTCCGAGCGTTCGTCGTGCGAAATCGATGCCGCCTGCTTTGACTTGAGCACTTGAGCACTGGATAGGGTCGATTCCGCATGGTACGGGACCCCTCGATCGTCTCGCCCTCCCTCGCTGGTGTGTTCATCGGGGACGGCTATGTAATCCACGATGGGACGGCTATGTAATCCTCTAGGGAAGAGCAAATGAAGAATTGATTCGGCGGATTCCAGCTGCAGGTGCAACCTGCGACCTGAGGGAGGGTGTAGAGGATGTAGAGTGTAGAGCGCTGTAGAGCTGTAGAGATGTAGAGCGCCCTGGAGCGCTGTAGAGCTGTAGAGCTCTACATCCGCCGCGGGACGAACTGCGTGCGTTGTAGAGCGATGTAGAGGCGCTCTACAACGTGAAATCTCTACAACAAACTCTACATGGTGAGAGAGAGAGCTGGTAAAAGCACACATACATGGTAAGCGGCGAACGAGGCACGGTCCTGAGGTTGCAGCGTACGCACACCCCTCTAGTGTTGTGTACTAGCGTGGGTCATGTGCGTTACCGAGGAGATGCGCCCGCAGGGTTTTCCCTCAGAGCTTGTTTCAGCGATTCAGTACGCTGGCGCTTTCATTGCACATTGGCCCCCGACGACTCGAGGTGGCTCAGCCGCCGCCGTTTCGCGTTTGGCTCGTCGCGGACTTCAACATGGCAGCAGGTCCTGGCCCGCACCCACCATCCTCTCAACTTTTGCACCCGCGCAACATCGTGGAAATTTCCATGCTAGGCGGCGTGGCGCGGGAAGACGGGACCATGCGCACGCTCACGCGGTGCTCACCGACCTCAACCTCCGCCACAACCAGATCCGCGACGAGGGCGCCGCTGCGATCGCCGAGGCGCTACGCGGCATCGGGGTGCTCACCCACCTCTACCTCGCCGGCAACCAGATCCGCGACCAGGGCGCCGCTGCGATCGCGGAGGCGCTGCCCGCGGCAACGGGGTATTGACCGACCTCAACCTCAACTATAACGAGATCGGCGACGAGAGTGCCACCGCACTGGCCTCCGCTCTTCGCGTCAACAGCAACCCTCTGGTGACCACCCTCTGGCTCGGCGCCAACGGCATTGGCGACAAGGGCGCCGCCTCGATCGCAGAGGCGCTGCGCGGCAACGAGGAGGACGACACGTCGCGAGGAGGGCGAGGAGGGCGAGGGCGAGGACGCTATGGAGGCCTAGGCGCGGAGGATGCCGCTGTGTGCGCTGAGGTGCTGACGACCCTCGACCTCGCCTCAATTTTGGCATCGGCGACGAGCAGGTGGGAAGAAAGCGATTAACGATCGCTCAGGCTGGGTTCAGCCTCAGGCTCAGCATCGCTGTGGCGAGCTGCTCCCCGTGTCTATAGTATCTCGACCATCCCCTCCCTTTCCCTGTGTACTTCGGTCTTCGCCGTTCGGCGTAAAATATGATTAGGACCTGCACAGTCACAAGTACATGGGGAGAGCGCTCCCGACGTGAACAAGGCTGAAACGGCTCTGTGGCTCGCTGCCTGCAGACCAAAGGGCGGGGCACAGAGCCGAGACGCCGCGCGGGCGACAAAGCGGAGGGGCAAGGAGGACCAGACACCGTTCTGAAGATGAGGGGTGTGGGGATGAGGGGGCGCGTTGGCGCACGGCCAGCGTCATGAGAAGTTTGGTATGATGGTTGCCAGCAGGATGCCGGCGACGATCAGTAGCGTGACGATGACGCAGCAGCACTTTTGGCGCGCGCGCTTCTGGTACTTTGCAGCGGAGCGGAGCTCTTCGACGGCACGGCCCTGCCGCGGGCGGGCGGGGCGGCGGCGGGGGTGGCAGAGGCGAGCAGCCACCCGCTCAGTGCCTTGGGCGTGCGGTCTCTCGAGGAGTGTGGGAGGAGGGTCGGGGTGGGTGTCGGGGGAGTGTCGGAGGTGTGCGGGAGGTGTGTGTCGGGCGGTGGGGCGTCTCGCCGCGTGCTCGACGGGCTGGGCATAGAGGGGAG